GCGAGAGAACCCAACTATGCTGATGAACTGAATGCTGCCTCCATGTCATTCCTTCTTCGCCCACTCCATCCACACCTTTGGGGACCCCTGGACCTGCTGGGATTGGACCCCAGCAAAGCTACTTGTCAAAACAGCCACGTCCACGTGGCCAAACCCACTTGGACATTTCTCTGTCCTCACGGGTTAACTTCTCAGCAGCATTTGGCAGAGGGACCAGCCCCTTTCTTGAAAGGGTAACTCACTCTCCCACTTTAATGGCCAGACCTTCTCAGTCTCCTTTAGCCACTGAAGTGTTTTATAGCTTGATCTTAAGGCCTCTATGATCACAAATCATCTCAACCAGTTCCATGACGTCCTGTATCATGTGCATGCTACCGAGTCCCAAAACTTACGGGAACTCCTCTCAGCTCCACTTGAGTATGTACTGCCTACTTGACTTTTCACTTGGATGTCTCACAAATATTTAAAAAACATTACAAGTTCAGCACAGAATTCTTGTCTCCCCGACCCTCACCCCCACCCAGCCTGTTCCTCTTCCAGTCTTCAACCAGCAAATGGCACCATCAGCCCCCGAGGCTTAGGCCAGAATCACAACCCCTTCAGTAAATACTTCTGACTCCACCCCCAAAATATCTGACCCCAACATCTCCTCTGCTCCATCTCCACCGCCACTGCACTTGCTAAGATACCATCAACCAAGAGCATTCCAATAGCCTCCCTGCTTCCTCTCTCCCTTCACAGCAGCCAGTGATCTTTAAAAAGGAAAACACATCACCGCCCCAATTAAAGCCCTTCGAAAGCTTCTCATTCTCATTAAAATAAAATCCCAAGCCCTGTTCTGCCTGACACAAGAGGCCCTGAGGGATCTCTCCAGCGCCATCTTACTCCTCCTGCTCCTAACACCATGACCATTGGGCCTTCCGGGTCTTGGCACCGGTTCCCAGGCAGGAGTGTCTCCCCAGCTTCCAGCGGCCAGCACAGCTCATGCTCAAGTCCCAACTCAGTCACCTCTTCAAAGGGACGCTCCTTGACTCCTACTGGCCAGTCATTCCCATAATGCACTCCTTTAGAGTCACCAACTTATTAACTTCTAATAATTTTTCTTAATCTGTGATTATCTTGATTATTTGTTTACTTATTTCCTGTTTTCCCCACAGTACTGTAAATTCCCTGAGGGCAGAGATCTTGTCTGTCTTGAATTCCACTAAAGGCTACTTTAAAATAAAGAAGCTACTGTGTCCCTCTCAGCAGGTTTATTTTAGATTTCCCTTCCTTTCAAGCTTCCTTGGATTTTAGTCAAAGAACATAATTACTTTGGCATTAACCATGAAAAGCAAGGGGAGGAAAGCCACAGAGGCAAAGATACAGGTATTCAATAGCTGCTCCTTACAGACACTTTAAAATGTGGACATATAATTTTTACATTAAGAAGTCAAACTTCTCGACCATCTCCCCTAGCAATTACTAAACACAACAGTGATCTGAGAATAAAGAAAGCACCAAATAAGCATGTGGTCCTCAATCCCGAGAAGTTCCTGATTTCATCACTGACTGCTCCCATTCTGGTCAGGCTGGCTAGTGGTCACCACTGGCTCTGCCCCTTCCTGAGCTGCTGTGGCTTCAAGCGCACTCTGCTTACCAGGCTCATGCTTGGAATAATCTCTCCCTGCTTCCCCAACCAAAACCCACAAGATAAAACTCAAAATTCAGAAAACACACCCCCTTTCTCCCAAGGATTCATCTCTAGGATTTTACTTTAGGATCTTTTCTAACCTATTCCTAATTCACCAATCCCACGTTCAACTCTATTTTTGTTGCATAATTGTCTTGAATAAGCTAGCTGCCCCATCTAGACCTAGAAGTCTGTTAACTTCTTACTAGAGCAGTGATGGCGAACCTATAACACGCGTGTCAGAGGTGACACGCGAACTCATTTTTTTTGGTTGATTTTTCTTTGTTAAATGGCATCTAAATATATAAAATAAATATCAAAAATATAAGCCTTTGTTTTACTATGGTTGCAAAGATCAAAAAATTTCTATATGTGACACGGCACCAGAGTTAAGTTAGGGTTTTTCAAAATGCTGACACGCCGAGCTCAAAAGGTTCGCCATCACTGCCCTAGAATGAGACAGGCTTTTAAAAATGTTCTGAGATTGTAAAGTCACAGGATACACCTAAGCCACCTTTCTGTAAGAAAAGTTTTGATACTTTGATAAATGGCAGCTACAGGAGAAAAAAATAAAAATGAGAATGATGCAATGATGCTGAAACTCAGAATGATATGGACCAAGTCTCACGGTCCAACTACAAGAGCCAGCAGCACAGTGCAGGGCGGCTCTGCATGTGTCTGTGGCAGCGGAGTCACCTGGAGAGCTTTGTCCTCGCACTGACCGCGGCCTATTCAGATGCAGGAGGTCCTGGGGAGGGGGGGTGTCCAGAATTTCAAAATCGGAGGTAATTGGGGGTATCAAGAAGTTGGAAAATGAAGGATCAGCTTAAAACTCAGGTTATTTAACCCATTGGACCTTTGGGAAAGAAACCAATGGCCCTAACAAATGAAGGAGTGATGTTGCAAATCTCTTTCAAAACATCTCCCCTCCCCGCGCCCCCCGCCCCCTAGTGGATTCTATTGCTCCGATGTGGACACCATAGGTGCAGAGCCAACAACACTGGCTTTTTGAATCCAATGTCAATTCTACCTGGTAAACAGGGAATAAAACCATTATTGCTGAGCTGACAGGATAAACAGGAATTAAATACAGCACCGAGCACAGCTCGGAAGGCTAGACGCTAGACCGTATGGTGAAGGGCACATTGGTTGCCACTGTTACTTTCATCCACTGGAAATTACCTATCTGCTTTCCATCCCTGTGGGCTCCTCAAAAGAGCACAGCTCAACACCCTCCTCCTCCTCCCACTCACCCTTCCCGCAACACTGTACCCAGTCCCGTCCTCCCCCTCAGCGCGGGGCTCCTTCCAAGGCAGCGGTTCTCAACCTTCCTCACGCCGCGGCCCTTTCATACAGGTCCTCATGTGGCGGTGACCCCCAACCATAACATTATTTTCGTGGCTACTTCATAACTGTGATGCTGCTACCGCTATGAATCGTCATGTAAATATCTGATATGCAGGATGTACTTTCATTGTTACAAATTGAACATAATTAAAATAGTGATTAATCACAAAAACAATACGCAATTATAGATGTGTTTTCCGATGGCCTTAGGCGACCCGGTCGACCCCCCAAAGGGTCGCGACCCACCGGTTGAGAACCGAGTCAGGGCGTATTTAATATTCCTGTGGATTTGGGAGGAAGGGAGCGGTCTAGGCGCTTCACTCCGGGCGGACGGGAAGAGCCAACAGCAAAGCCAGCAGAAGTTCCCACCGCGGACCGCTCGGCCCAGTGCGATGGCGGGTAACCGTCCCTCCAGGCGGCTCTAACACCAGCAGCCAAACACACACCGA